TGCGTGTAAAATATCTTTTTGTGTAAGGCATTGGCGCATAACTAATTTTACCAACAACTATGTGTAAAATTGTCTTCGTTTGTCAAATTAGTGATATCACAACTGAATTTTCTGACCTGAAGTGTATGACTTCAAAGTGATATCACAACTGAATTTTATGAGCTGAATTGTCCGGGTTATATCGCCCCGTACATTTACCAGAACAACTATCATAGCTTTCGAAAGATTAAAATGTTAACTAATTTTATGCAATTTCAGGGCTCTTTTACATGTACATCCTCCATTCCATGAAAAATCAAATGCGCGAAAAACTGTTACCGAAGTTAAATGATTAGATTATCCTCTGTCGGAGTTTGAAGGACAACTCGCTACACTATACATACCACATCCTAACATTGATGGTACTATTATTAACTAGAAATATAGACACGACAACAATATTCCTGCCTGCGACATAATTATTAATGTACATTTCTTGGAATTATATGAAAGGTGACGTGAACCAGGGAAATACAATGACAACACTGTGTCCATGGGTAACAGTGTTGCTAATGATAAGAGCAGGATTTGAATGTCTAACAAATGTTGAACGCCTGAAACTCCGCAAAAGGTCAATCAATCGGAACGTAACGCAAACTCTTTATCGAGAATGTGTATACTATATACAATATGTACTTATCAACTACAAAAACTTTTTTGTCGGCGTCCTTGTCAAATTTACTATCAACTACAACAACTTTTTTGTTGGCGTCTTTGTTATATTTATTTTTATTTTTGTTTGAATTTTTTAGTCAGTTGGGTTGTATGTCTGTGATGTTTGTTTATACAGTTTTGGTTGCTGGATCCCAATTATTGTCACATTAACCTATCATGTTTGTTTGGGTTGCTGACACAATTTTGTCAATATAACGGAACTATATACAACTGTCGCACAAGTTGGAGGTTTAGCTAGCTATAAACCAGGTTTAACCCACAATTTTCGTCAGAAAATGACTGTACCTAGGATTATGACAGTTGTTTTTCACTCGTTCCGTTGGTTAATAACGTTTGATTTTGTCAGTCTTTTTGAATTTACCTTGGAGTTCGGTATTTTTGTTATACTTTTCTTCTGCATCATTTTACATTGTTGTACCAATAGTCAACTGCAGATGTGCTTGTTTTACGTCGATCACAAAAAATGTCAGGACAAGTACACTTTTCGTGATTTTAAGTCAAAGGGTCGTAATTACGCAAAAAGTCGGCCAATCGGAATGAATAGCAAATTCGGTCTGTAGTTCATCAATATACACTAATGTACAAAATTCAGACTAATTTCTACAGGAAAATGATAAAAAACCCAAACAACTGTTTGATTGTAAAAAAACAGGCACTTTTATAAATTGTAACTTGGATGGAGAGTTGTCTCATTGGCACTCATACCACATCTTCCTATATCTACTTATATGCCCGACCACTTACATGAAGTTGCGGGAAACAAAAATAGAAACTCTGACAAAAATATCAAACAAAAAAATTCTGGAAATTATGTGAAGGAACAATTGCTACCAAATAATAATAGATTTAAGAATTAGACTCATCTTCGAATTATAACTTGCTAAGAGCAACACATCTGATGCCACTAGTAGAGCAGTAACTATCTAACCTTCCAACACACCTGAGTTTACTAACAGTTTTTTTATTACGTTGTGTTTTTAAATCTTTTGTTTTGTATGTGGTGTTATGTGAAATGCGTTTTATTTGTCAATTTGTCGGTTTTTATGTCATATTTCTAACAAACTTATATGGCAAATTGTTTTGAACTTAAAATGATAGGTTAAATTGGTCTTTTGCCATTGTTGAAAATGGAAATAAAGCAAGGTGAGCGCAGCAGGTTCTTTTCATCCTCTTAAGCCTTTCTTGTAGTTTAACCGGTGTTGTTATAGCTTACATTGTATGCTGGGCATTTTATAATCTATAATCGCTTTAAATTTTTCTGAATTCGGCTCGAAAAGGATTTAAAGCCATTTGGCATTTTTAGTTAAAAGTGTTGAAAATAACATAAATCGTGAAACAGGTTTTGTCAATTATTTTTTTTTTTTATTTTTTTTTTTTTTTTGCTTGTCTTTTCAGCAGTAAATTTTGATTTATTCACAATTAATTATTTCATTTGGGTAAAGAATTCAGATCCTTGGTCATTTTTCTGAATATGGTTCTTCAAAAGAGGTTCCACTGCATTTCTACATCTTGGTAAGCGACAAAGTCTTTTTTTCAATTCATTCATTCATCCATTCATCAGATCAACCTACCAACCAATCAATCCAAACGAACTGACAGACAGACGGACTGACAAACAGACTGGTATTTTTTTCAATTTATGGTTCAGAGTAAGATGTTTAAAAAAAAATGTTGATTTTGGAAAGAGTTTACACAAAAAGATACTCAATAAAGCGAAACTTTATTTTTCCTAAATACCACGATTTTATATACTAAGAGAGTACTAGGATTGGGCTTATTTTACCCTTTTAGTTTGTTTAATATAATTGAAATAAAAATACACTTAAACTATTTTTTATTTATCTTAGATTTTTTTCCCAATTTGTTAAAAGACAAGGTCCCTTAACTTTATGAGTTGATAGTATATGGTAAAAGACTAAGTTTAAACAGTTAATTAAGTCAATTTATACACAAGTCCAGCTATTCATATTTTTTTAACCCATCTCCTGACTTCAAAGAAAAAAGAGATAACTGAGTTCTAACTTTGATAGGTGCAAGCAAATGTAATATTATAATCAGACAGAAAATTACAGCCAAACCAAAGCATCCAAGATACAAATTAATTAACTACAAGGTATACTGTTTTGCTCATATTTGTAGTTTCACGATAAAGCAAACAACATTCTATATCATGTCAACATCATTCTGATAAACTGAAATATTTGATTTTGATAACTTATTTCTGCTTTTTCATTATAAACTAGACTAGTGCCATGATAGATATACTGACGATTTGACTTTGTACATAAAATGTGATAACACACTAGTATGAGGGGTGACAGGCTATTGATTTACTTACATGGATAGGTTTTTTTAATCAGTTTTCAACAATGACAATTTTTTAAAGTAAAATAACAAAAATACCGAACTCCAAGTAAAATTAAAAATGGAACGTCCCTTATCAAATTGTGTTCTTTTTGTTCTGATATAAACATTACATTAAATCGGCCGTGTTTAAATGTACAATGTATACAAATGTTGATTTTTTTTTTGAGAATAAAAATCTTATTGGCTTTTTTTCGGGTTGACTGTTGGAATTAACGACTTAACAAATAAACTCATCATTGATAGCAGGCTTAAAATTCTGTACGCCAGACGCGCGTTTTGTCTACAAAAAGACTCATCAGTGACGGTCAAATAAAAAAAAAAAATCCCAAATAAAGGACGAAGTTGAAGAGGATTGAGGACCCAAAATCCCGTAAGGTTTTGCCAAATACAGCTAACTTAAGTTAATCTAATTCTATCTATTCCTGGGGTAGAAAAATCCTTAGTGTTTTCAAAAACTAAAAAAAAAAAAGTTTTGTAAACACTCAATTATAATTATGACCATTTCAATGATGAATCATGTCAACACAGATATGTGCTGACTACTTGGCTGGTGATACCCTCGGGGAGAAAACCTCCACCAGAAGTTGCATCGACCCAATGGTTGTTAAAAACTCATCATAGATACCAGACTTAAAATTTTGTACGCCAGACGCGCGTTTCGTCCACGAAAAGACTCATCAGTGATGCTCGAGTAAAGTCTTAAGGGTCAAATAGAATCTTTATTAGTTTTAGATTTATAATATTATAATTGTTTTTCCTATTAAAATCCGGAGGCCTCATTACTAATAGAAAATATCGATTTTTAGTTAATGAGATATCAACCTAGTAACACAATACTATTAATAATAATATATTTATCTGTAGTTTATTATGTCGACATCACTTATATGTCGATCTGCGAAATGCAAAGTTTGTTTATAGGGTCAAAAATCGTCACTGTTTAATTCAGTTGTGTGGATGGTCATTGAAATACCGCATGTTGTTTATTGACACCTTCCATGTCATTGTTATGGCACTTGAATTAGCATTAATGCCTGAATTACGAAAATTTTGGTTATTAAAGGTACCTGATGATGGCTGTTCCAAAAACACGTGTCTTCTGTACAGAAATGGGTTTTCTACCTTTAAATTTGTTTCGGTACAGTCGCTGGTGTTACATCACTCCCCGGGGTTACTATCAGCCTAGTCAAAGAAATAATAATTGTAAAATGAATGATAAACGCGCAGAAGATTATCACGTGTAAATAACGAAGATCGACATGAACTACGTTTTATGACTGTAATAATTGGGACAGAAACTAGTTAATGTTTATTAGATTCCATTATAATTATACAGATAGTGGGGCCCGCCTGTATCCCTGCACTATTAAAGTTCATCAAGCGTCTTCGTGATCGTCATTATGCAGGATAAACTTGAAAAAATGTTTGTTCCGTAGGTACTGAATCACAATTCCCTAATGACAGCAGTGCTGATTATCAATTATAATAATTTGAACATGGGAAGGCTAAAAGCACGAATGATGTTCACTAAAACCAAAGTTTTTGACGGATATGCAACGAACTCGAAAGTGGTTTAACTTTCATTTGGTGTATATATAAGTTCATAAAGGGAAGAACAAATTATTATTGGAAATTTGTTTTTAAGCTGATTACTGGATATGCTAAAATGTTGATATTATCTACTGACTACGAAGCAATTAAAGCAATATTAACATGTAAAGAGAATGTAAATGAATCTGCAATGTCATTCCCCAAATAATAAAACAAATACATTAAATCATCTAAAAATGGATAAATATAAATTTGAAATTTGGACAGGCGAAAATTTTGTTTTATCTGTCGAGATAAAATTGTCAATACATAACATATTATCTAAACTGATAACAGTATAACATTGAAAACAACCGAGATATTTCGAATTGACAGCTGTCTAGGCTGATACGAAGGAAATATAGAATTATGTTACAAGGCAAAACAAAATAACATGTAAACTGTGACAATTTAATTTATACTTTTTTTGGAATTTAGATTGTATTCAATACGGGTAAAATGACTGTGTTAAATTCAAGTTACGCGTCTTGCAGAAAAGTCTGTGAATTGTGTCCTGGAGAACAAATTGGATCATTTGTAGCAGTGGATTATGTCTTGTTTGCTGCTGTTTTGGTTATTTCCGCCCTTATTGGAGTGTATTATGTGGTGAAGGAGTACCTAGCAGCACGGACCGCAACATCGGAAGATGTCCTCATGGGAGGTCGTGACATTGGGATATTTCCAATTGCTATGTCATTGATGGCTAGCTTTATGTCTGCTATTACAGTTCTAGGAACACCAACAGAAATGTATAATAACAATACAAGTTATTGGATTGCAGGACTTTCTATGATAATTACAGTGATAGTCACAAATCATGTATTTCTTCCATTTTTCCATGATCTGAGTCTGACTAGCGCTTATGAAGTAAGTCATACAAACATGGGTCTCATTTCTAATCCGTATCAGCTTAACGTTTAACCTTTTGACGCACAATCGTAAATTCTTTAAGGTTGTTTAAACATTTTAAAAGTACATATACTAGTGCGTAAATGCATGTTTTATGGTCATATGTGCATTATTCTTTTTTTTATTTGATAAGATTGCAGCCAAAACAGAAACATACATTATGATCGATTAATGTCTTCGAATTGTAGGAATATGCTTTAATTTACAAATGCAAGTTTAACATATCACACTAAGAGGAATATCTCTAGGCTTTTAAATGATAGATATTGTTTTTCATTAATGACTCTCGAGTTCTTCAAAAATGTTTTACTGAAGAAATAAAATATATCAAGTGTTTCTAAAAATAGTTGAGAGTTAAAAGAGAAGCCAAAATGTATTCTTATCATAAAGGAACGAATAAATGTGTAGCCGAGAAAAACACAGCTTTTTTAATTACTTATTCATTTAATAATTTATTGAAACCTTTACTTATTTATTTGTTAATTTCGTGATAATAATAAATCTTCATGGAAACACAACATCTTCATAATGAAGCCCCATTTTTGTCATCATTAAGCTAAAAAAAAATATGATATGCTCTTTAATCAAAAATGTTTGACATAGAAAATATCATGGTTTTTACACTTTTCCAAAAATCATAGACCTTTTTTTTTAATAAGGAATTATAGTTCAACTTGATTAGTATGGGAACTCCTTCAGCTGATTTAGATTAATTTGGAAATTTATAAGTACTTTCCTGATACTGATGTTCACCTGTCCTCCAGGTGTGTTTTGTTCACACAAGTTCTTAAATATCCGTGACAACAGACTTGCTTTAGAGGGCATGATTATTTCAAAGCTGAATGGAGCCATTTTGTAGACCAATTGAACTTATCAATTTATAAGGAGTCATTTCCTCCGAAGCAAGTAAACCAGGCATTGCCTATTTTCTTTCCGCTTTGGCATGTTAGTTTAATCAGTTCGTTGTTATTTCTTCAAAAGGGTAGATATATTTAAATAAAAAAAAAACAATAAGCGTTTCAACAGCATGCATGAATCCAAAATATTCAAAATAAAGACGAAAGCGAATTAGAGCATTTTCTGTTGTTTAAGGTCGTACGGTGACCTGTAGTAATATTTTAGGTGGGATGTATCTAATTGAGGTATACTCAAATCTCCATTTATCAATAAAATAATTATAACATTCATAAAGGTGTAAATGCGCCCTTTATTTTATCTATTTATATAGAATATGCTTTAGCTGCTACTTTATCGAATATTTGCCGCAATGAAAGTGGTAGTTGTTGAAAACTTAAATTCAATTTATAATAATACAATATATATACTGATAAAAAATAAATGTGCACATATGTCTAGAGGGGTTTAAATGGAAAACAAAGTCCATTGAATGAAATATGGTCGTTTTGATATTGTTTGTTGTGCACACACATGTCTGTTAAAAAAAAAGATATGAAATGATAAACTATCCTGTAAAACAGTTTAATCAAACATTTTACATGGTAACCATGTTAGATTAGGTATTCAAAGATAACATAAAACTGGGCACGTTTCAAAACACTTACGCGTAATAATCAATACACGCACATGTTGTTCATTTAATTTTAAAAGGGAAATGTGTGTACAGTCTCTTCCATAAGCTAATTTTAACAATGTCTTAAATTTGTTGGTTAACCCAATTTTGGATATGATTTTTTTCTTTTTCTTCTAAATAACATAACTTTAGGAACGGTTTCGAAATCTTACTGAAAACTACGCATTATCACGTTCAAAGCAACATCTTTTCCATAAGTAACTAGATTCAAGTTGCTGTTGCGGAAAATATTTCAATTTCAAATATAATAAACTTTGAATGAATACATTCGAATATGGCATTTATTTATCTAAGCTCTTAAGTACCTAATAAGTAGCGTCATTTGAAATTATTTTAAAAAAGCTATAAAATGAGATGTCAGCGACCAATGGCACACAAAAATACACTAAGAGGTCAATATAAGGTGATTACAGTGTGTCAAGCTCTGAATTGCCCCGAGTCTAGAAAACTTGTGAATGAATATAACAGAGACTATCAAAGTTACTACCAAACCAAATTCCCTTAAGTGACAAATACATTTATATAAAACAGAAGGCGACCATTGATGAATTTCTGACCTTGGACAGTCAAATGAACATGTCACGTGGATTAACCTAGTTTAATAGCACAATCCTAACTAACTTATTATTCGAAATTAGGCTGTAATAATGCTGTTTATATATAGCACTGACATGTTTTTCAGACACTCATATCAAAGAACAGTACAACCTGATTATGAGAATTATAATTTGAATCAGGTATAATAACTAAAAGCATTGTCACAACCATGCTCAATTGTGGGTATCTATGCTATTATTCTATTTATTAGATACAGCAACGCATGTTCCATTCCCAATACTTTCATGTTTTCCCCCAAAAAATTCAAAAGATTTAATGATTTAAAAAAAAAGACATTCAATGAATATTAAGGTAGGAACAATAATTTATACTATCTATACGGATGGTGATAAAATGATGTTCCCTTCGTAACAATATCGTTGATCAATAAAAAGTATGGGAGGCAATGTGAATCACAATTTTTATGAATAAACATTTATTGTTATTACTTTGATTACTGCAAATATTTCTATAAAAGAAAGGTTAGAATTAAATGTTTGATGATTCAAAATTTTACAATACGAATACTTGTACATTTGATAATCATAAGATTTTCTTAAAATCATCCACCAAAGTAAACATCGTTCTGAATAGGCACGACATTTTTGTTACTGGACATTAAGCAAATAACAGTCAAAACAAATGTGTATGCCATCTTATTAGAATATTGATTGTTGGTGTGTAATGCCACTTTCATCATTATAATTGGCTATTCGTGGCGGAGTGCCCGGAGAGAACCACTGACCTTCGGCAAGAAAACTGGCAAACCTAGCCATTTCTAGAAATGACTAAACAAAAATCAAACAACAATCAGATGATAAAAAAAATAAGTGTTGCATACACAGAGGGTAACTTGAATGGTTAACCATCGAATAGAAAACAACTGTAAAGTCATAAGTACGCTACATTAATTGAATATTTTATGTTTCATGAATTTTTGTCCTGCACAAACGACCAGCCGCCCTCATACATGTATACACATTCCATACTAAAATTAAATTAAACTTAAGTTCACGACGGTTTATTCAACACTGTCCTGAAATACCCTTATCTTTTGTCTGTTCATAAACTACTTAGTATTAAAATTTAAGGCTGCATTAGTATGTTTTTCGTTATATTTGTTTGATTTGGTTTTATTATAGATAAAATCTCCACTGAAAAGGGTCTCAGCCTTATTTTCAATTCGTTTGTTAGATATAACCATCACATACATGTAGTACCAAAGTTGATTTAAATTTCCTGCCCGAGCTGGAGGCTAAATTTTCAGAGATTTGACAAATATGTGGGATGTAAATCAAGAAAGACTACGACACCATACTTATCATAAAAAAAGCAATTAAAACTGTACAGTATTCTTTTTGAAAGAAACATAATATTCTAGAAATGGAAATCACAACAAAATACGCTATGACATCTCCCCCATAAAACAACACAAGGTTAACGTTTATCTTCCGTAAAATATTGTTTATCAGTACATGCATTTGGTCAGGTAGTTATCAAAAAAATTATTACTGCGCATTTCAGATCATTTCAAAAGGAGCTCACTTTTTCAGTTACAAAGTTTGTACTTTGAATATCTTAAATAGAATATAATTCGAAAGTAAGGATATCGTTTAGACATCCAGTAGTCATGGTAACATATACCAATATAAGCCTAACATCATGCAAGGCAGTGTGTGAATTATGCCCAGGAGAACTAATCGGAACACTTCAGATAGTGGATTATTGTTTAGTTGTGGCTGTGATGGTCATTTCGGTACTCATCGGGATTTACTTTATATATAAAGACAGAAGTGCTACAGCAGACGACGTGTTGATGGGTGGTAGAGATATAGGGATATTTCCGATAGCTATGTCATTAATGGCTAGTTGTATGTCTACAATTTTCGTGCTAGGAACCCCAGCAGAAATGTATACTCATGATACAAGCTTTGGATTAGCATGTCTCGCAATGTTCCCAACTGCTGTTGTTACATGTCATGTTTTCATTCCATTCTTTCATAAACTTGAATTTACAAGTGCGTACGAGGTAATTGACTTTAACATAATTTCAAAAACTTGATACTGGTATATACTTAACATTGAAACGGTGTTAAAATTCTGCAGCATCGCATGGCTAGTATGCTAAGGAAATGAAAAATTATACAATAAATGCCTGTAAATTACGGGTATAAATTGCTTTATGATTACTCTATGTGTAATCACTTAAGCATAATGAATGAAAGAGTCTGTTCGTCCAGCGGCAAATATTTCATGAACATTCAAAACGAAGTGTGCTTATGAACAATGTCCATTGTTATATTTATTTTCTTAACATATTAAAACCACATTATTCCTATAGTGTAACATAGAGGTACTGAGTTCACTGATGTATAAATTTATGTTCATGTATTTTATTATTTTATCGACTCATCATCCCAACACCCTATATTCAGTCATAATATCAAATCTAATATGGTATCTGGTTTCTGAAAAGCTGAAAGCCGAATTTTTATAGATCCATTCTACTTTGTTCAGAGTAATATACTTATATCTGCTGTAATTTTTTTATATTTAGTTGGGAATCCAAGTCAAATAATTCAAACATGAATATCACGTTTTTCAACCTCTCGAAAGTTACTGTAATAAATACATAGAAATCTGTTCACTGTAAAGATGCCAATAAGGACAATACTGAGGAAAAAGAGATGATAATAAACAAGGCTGTCGCTGCTGTAATTGGGCTGCTTTAGACCAGTTTAAAATGTACTATGGCGCTGTTACCTAGTCTTGTTTTCTACATTGTAATTGGGAACCATAAAAATGCCATGATTCTAAGGAACACCAGTTTCAACCCAATCTTAATTCTTAGCTAGCTATGATATATATAGACAGCAATGAAGGATAAAAAAGATATGAAAAACAGTGAAAAAATGACTGGTACTATAAAACCAGTTCTTGTTATAAACACATAGAAGATAACATTGTAATCATTAAGTTTTTTTGGAAATAGATCAACCTAATATCTTGACTGTTTAAAATCATTTAATTTTCTGACATATTGAAAACAGTTTTTTTTTCATCTTTCAGTATTTAGAGAAGCGTTTCAACAGAGCTGTACGAGTGTGTGCGTCCCTTTTATTTATGCTAAATATGGTAAGTTTGGCAGTTTAAATAAATACAGCCTTAATTCCATAAAGACAGAAAAAACAATTAAAATTTATATTTATGTTATAGTTAAGATGTAGTCAATGAAAAACTGTAAGCCTTTAAAGCCCTTACAACAACTCTAGAAGTTGTAGTCCGTTGATAGCATGGAATGTATAAATACGACGTCTGGTCTGATTTAGGGCGTTTATTCTAAGATCCTTGATGACAGGTGCTAGAAATGGCTGCCATGTAAGTAGGTGGCTTAATGCAATGAAATACCTGGTTCAAACTAACCTTTCATTTTTCAATTTTTGTTCACCAAGTCAGGAGTATGGTCGTTATTCGATAAATAATTCAACGTTAATTATTTGAAGAAATTGTTTCTGATGTTTACCAGTAAAAACTTATGATTTTTTAGAATCTACCTTGAAGTTCAAAACATTTGTAATTTGTCAATCGCTGCATAGTAATTTTCTTGAATGAACTTGTTTTCAATTTTGTTGCTTTGATATTGTACTGTAATGTTTATTGGTCGTTATGGTTACAAACAAGAAGAACCTTGTTGTATCAATACATGTTTCACGCAGAAGGAAGCGTTGGGTCGATTTAGACGTTTGGCGGGAAAGTCAGTGGTTGGGTCCAAGGGTATGGGGGTGTTTGAGAGGGATTCTTGTGTTCGGTATCGGGAACATTTAGAGAACACCCCTATCCAGTAAATATTGTATTCACCCTGGGGTATATAAGCGGGTGAGGATTACAGTTCGGGTTCTGTCGATATTCTCATTAAGAAGACCAGTGTACAAGAGTAAGGCACGTTACATAGCTGTAAGTGATATTGTCGAGGACAACTTGTACTGGGGACAACTTGTACTAGGTACAAGTTGGTCTAACATAGGAAGTTGGCAGAGCAGACTGTCCCATACGGAGGACGGACTGCAATAATATAACCCGCACTGTCTTGTAGTGACAGACTGTCCCACTCGGAGGACAGCTGTACCAGCAGCACTGTCTGGTATCGACAGACTGTACCAGCCACACTGTCTTGTAGTGACAGACCGTCCCATCTGGAGGACAGGCTGTAAGATTGTATTATATTTGTATATATATATATATATATATAATTGTTAGTCGTTACTTTATATCGGCAAAGAGCCCGTGTGTATATTTTAGTTCATTGTGTATAACATAGATAGTTAATAGTATTGCCGTATTGTTTATGGACAGCTTGAATCCAAGTATTTACTGGAACGGACGTTTAAGATATAAACGCCTGGTTACACGTTACATATTTGGTGGCTAGCGGTTGGGATTCAAGTTGTCTATCAAATACTATTTGATTGATTGATCGTCATTAAATTTATTGTCAGTTGACATCAGTGTTTATTCAAAAGATTAAAGCGGATCAACCGTGAGGCATAGTTGTAGTTCACGGCTGAGTTGTAACACGAGTGTATTATTTAGTAAAAGATTATAACATTATAATTGTTTTATTTGACTTGCACTATACTGCAATGAATATATTAAATATTGACGATCAGATTGCTGAAATAAGTAGACAAATACAGTCTCTTAGTGAAAGCACAATACAACATGGACAAAGTTTTATATCTTCCACACCTCGAGATCAGGGTATACGTCAAAAGGTTGTTGAAAACAGAGAACATGATTCAGTCGTAGTGACGACAGAGCCGTCTCTATCAACACCTGTTGGACTGGCCGTGGGTGATACACTGCCTTGGCCAGATAGGTATATCATAACAAATCCTCACTTGAATAATAGAAAATCCATTGGGCAAGACAGAAATCAAAATATTAATCCTAAGCAGGAATTAACAAAAAATCAAAGCACTGCTCATACTGTAAGCTCTGGTTCAAATGATGTTAAAATCAAACTTTCAAAATATGATGGCATTACTCCTTGGATGGATTATTTATCACACTTTGAGATGTGTGCCCTTGTTAATATGTGGTCTGAACATCAAAAAGGTTTGTACTTGGCCGTGTCACTGATTGGAAAGGCCCAAGCAGTCCTGGGTGATTTACCAAAGGAAAAGAGACAAATATTTTCAGACCTAGTATATGCACTGGAGGAACGCTTTGCTCCATCCAGTCAAACGGAACTATATCGTGTTCATTTCAAGGAATGTCGACAAAAAGCAAGCGAGACTTTGCCGGGGTTAGGTCAGTCAGTTCGAAGACTTTCTAATCTGGCCTACCCGACTGCTCCGTTAGAATTAAGGGACACGCTTGCCAAAGAACAGTTTATAGATGCGCTAGTAGACTCAGAAATGAGACTGAGAATTAAACAGTCTCGTCCAAAAGGTCTTAACGAAGCTATACGGTTGGCGGTTGAGCTTGAAGCTTATAACAAGGCTGAGAGTAGAACAATGAAAAGTATGGGTCACTTACGACATACTACTAGTGACGAACGGACAGAAGCACCTAATAGTCCTGATATGACTGTATCTATGGGACAAATGACGGCGTGGATACAGACGATTGAAAATAGTTTACAATCCTTAACAAAAGAACTTAGGGATTTAAAGTACACGAGAAAGTTCCAACCACAGGGGAAGATAAATAGCACACAAAGCAAAGGAAAAAGGCGTGGTCCTTGTTTCAGTTGTGGAGAAATAGGACACTTTGCAAGAAATTGTCCTAATAATAATCAGAAGCAAGGTACTCGGGGAACAGATAGCAACGGAACATATACGGACGGATCGGTTAATACACTGAAGTCTGAAGTTAAGTCTTCAAACAATGATAAAGGCGCTGTTGTTGTTTCAGCATCAGAGGATGCAGGAATGTTTGTTGAGTTGAGCATTCACGATATACCAGTCAAGTTTGTGGTTGATACTGGAGCTACACTAACTATAGTTTCTTCAAGAGTGTATGATTTAATACCTGACTTGTGTAGGCCGCATTTGAGTGAAACTAGGTCACATATTAAGTCTTTTTGTGATAAATATTTAAGCCTTAGAGGTACGGGTAGTTTTACACTTGATTTTGGTAAAGAGAAGTTTACTTCAGAGGCCGTTGTAACTGACCTACAAGTCGATGGAATTCTAGGTTTAGACTTTATGAAGAAAAATAAGTGTCTGATTGACGTGTCTGCTAAATTATTACACTTCGATAACTTTAAGGTCCCTCTACTTTTTCAAGGTACCCAGAATAGAAATGTTCACAGAAAACCATGTCGGTTAACATCAGACAGACAGTCAAAAACGGACCGTGATTGTTCTAAGAGAGAACAAAGTCAGGTCAATATAGTTACAAGTAAGATGCCAGACAAAGGTAAAGACTTGACTTTAAATGAGTTACAATCAAATGACTCGGTCCTTAAACGTGTTAAGCGGTGGCTGACAGAGGGTCAAAGGCCACAATACAATGAGGTATCCAGTAAGGGATATTTTCTTAGGTCATTATGGAGTCAGTTTGGTTGTTTAGAGGTCCACGGTGATATAGTAGTTAGACGCTTCAATGACCTAGAACTGAACGTTGCAAAATTACAAGCGGTAATTCCAATGTCGGAGCGCAAACAAGTATTAGAATACTGTCATGACACAAAGTATGCTGGTCACTTAGGTATTCATAAAACTCGAGAGAAAATACGCCAGTCTTACTATTGGCCTGGTTTGAAATCTGACGTTAGGGCATATGTTGCTAGTTGCAATAAGTGTACTAGGAGAAACCACCCAATGAAAAAGAATCGTGCCTCAATGAGATTAGAGGAGGAAAATAGTCGTCATAAGAGTCAGAGACCAGCCTGGATGGCTGATTGTGAAATTGAATAAAGTCAAGATTGTGTACATATATTTATGGATGAATTTTGTTTTGTAATTGTAATGTTTATATCATGCGGGACGCATGTAGATTGAGGCGTGGGTTATGTAATGTTTATTGGTCGTTATGGTTACAAACAAGAAGAACCTTGTTGTATCAATACATGTTTCACGCAGAAGGAAGCGTTGGGTCGATTTAGACGTTTGGCGGGAAAGTCAGTGGTTGGGTCCAAGGGTATGGGGGTGTTTGAGAGGGATTCTTGTGTTCGGTATCGGGAACATTTAGAGAACACCCCTATCCAGTAAATATTGTATTCACCCTGGGGTATATAAGCGGGTGAGGATTACAGTTCGGGTGCTGTCGATATTCTCATTAAGAAGACCAGTGTACAAGAGTAAGGCACGTTACATAGCTGTAAGTGATATTGTCGAGGACAACTTGTACTGGGGACAACTTGTACTAGGTACAAGTTGGTCTAACATAGGAAGTTGGCAGAGCAGACTGTCCCATACGGAGGACGGACTGCAATAATATAACCCGCACTGTCTTGTAGTGACAGACTGTCCCACTCGGAGGACAGCTGTACCAGCAGCACTGTCTGGTATCGACAGACTGTACCAGCCACACTGTCTTGTAGTGACAGACCGTCCCATCTGGAGGACAGGCTGTAAGATTGTATTATATTTGTATATATATATATATATATAATTGTTAGTCGTTACTTTATATCGGCAAAGAGCCCGTGTGTATATTTTAGTTCATTGTGTATAACATAGATAGTTAATAGTATTGCCGTATTGTTTATGGACAGCTTGAATCCAAGTATTTACTGGAACGGACGTTTAAGATATAAACGCCTGGTTACACGTTACAGTACTAGGTTATGCAAAGCAGTCTGTAAATATTGTACTGGTTTATGCAAAGCAGTCTGTAAATATTGTACTAGTTTATGCAAAGCAGTCTGTAAATATGTCATACCACATCATAATATGTTTATATTTATTTTCAGCTTTTGTATATGGGTGTTGTTTTGTATGCACCATCATTAGCTTTGAATCAAGGTAAATAAAATACAAAAGTATGCATTGACGTGCATGTATTCTACTTTGATACAGTTTAAATGTAACTTCCTGGCGTTAAGCTTGAAGTGACTCCAAATTAAAAAAGAATCTTATTCGGTGTATTATTTCATTCGAAAATATTCGATATCTGAGAATACATTTCGATTTCCATTTTTGTCCTTAATATTCTTTATTTTTGGAAACCTATGCATAACAAAAATACACATTGCATATACATATAATTTGATTTAGGCTTAACCTCATTCCATCTGAAAGTGTGCTACAGATGAATTACCATCAATATTGGGAAGTCGTATCAATCTATTACGGTTATTTCCATATAAATCTAAAAGTTCGGACCTCTGGTAAACAGAAAGTTTATAGTTCATGTTTCAAAATAAGTATTGTTTAAATATGCCCAACGTGTAGTTAACCATACAATAATTAGCTGTTGCCAAAGCGTTTTCTTTTGATAAAATGCAAAAATGTCGAGATGTATAACATACTTATGGAGGCTTTGAATTATGTATAACCAGCCATCTGAGGTTAACTTTGCCTGAGGTTGTTTTGGGCCTAGATTTTGTAGATGTAAATTATATATTGATGATACTGTGTTCAAAACAAAATAAAGACATGTGATATGTAATTGCCAAAGAGACAACTATCCAACGGAGTCAAAATGAAGTTGATTTAATCCACTATCGGTCGCAGTAAGCGCTTTTTAAGGTTAACCTTAACCAGGAAAGCCCAACGCTAAAATTAAACCTTAGTATGATTTATTATACTCTTCCAACAACACCAACTATGATGAAACATGTGCCTTCTGATGCTATAATCCCAGGAATAACTAGGATCTTTATTTTATTTCAGTTACGGGTCTTAAATTAGAATTATCAATAGTGTGCATTGGATTAGTATGTACGTTTTATACAGCACTGGTAAGTGTCAAGATTAGTATGTACGTTTTACACAGCACTTTTAAGTGTCAAGGTTGGTATGCACGTTTTATACAGCACTGGTAAGTGTCAAGATTGGTATGTACGTTTTATACAGTACTGGTAAGTATCAAGATTTGTATACACGTTTTATACAGCACTGGTAAGTGTCAAGATTGGTATGTACCCTTTATACAGCACTTGTAAGTGTCAAGATTGGTATGCACGTTTTATACAACACTGGTAAGTGTCAAGATTTGTATGTACTTTTTACACAGCACTTGTAAGTGTCAAGATTGGTAGGTATGTTTTATACAGCACTGGTAAGTGTCAAGATTAGTATGCGCGTTTTATACAGAACTGGTAAGTGTTAAGATTGGTATATTTATGAATAAAAGCAGGTATGGGGTATTTGTCAGTGAGACAGACACCAAAACCCAAAACCCAAAAGACATTAGTTGGTCAACCTGCATTCTTCATCAATTTACTAGTCAAACGAAAGTATTTAAAAGTTGTGAATATAAAAATAAGAAAATATGGTATATCATATATAATTGCCAATGAGACAACTCTCCAACAGACCAAATGACATTGAAGTTAACAACTATAGGTCACCGTATGGTCTTCAACAATGAGCAAAAACCCATACCGCATAGTCAGATATAAAAGGCCCCGAAATGACAAATGTAAAACAATTCAAACGAGAAAACTAACGGCCTGATTTAAGTAAAAAATAATGAACAAAAAAGAAATATGACATACAACAATAAACGATAACCACTGAATTACAGGCTCCTGACATGGGACAGGCACATACAGAATGTGGCGGGGTTAAACTAGTTTGAAGGTGCCAACCCTCCCCCTAACCTGGGACAGAACACAACATAAAAACAAAGTATAAAAATCAGTTGAAAAGGGCTTGACTCATTAGATCGATCGATACAAAGCAGAAATACATCTAACAAAAACACTTTTTCACAGGGAATTACGATGTAAAAAATAATGGTCTAACGATTGAAACAAACTATATCATTCCTTGTTCGTCGTATGTGCTTGTAAAGTGCTTACTGTAGTCAACACAAAGTCCAGTACGTGTGGATTTTTTCTAGATATGTAGATATGGCGTTATGATTATACATTAATGAGACAGCAACACAGCAACATAAGAAAACCAATCTGGAAAAGCAAATATAACATAAGAGAAATAAAGAGGTTACCATTATTGCCTAGAAAGTGTCAACAATTTTTATTTTGTGTACATCACCACAAACTTTTAAAAAAAATACTGTTCTTAAATTATTTGTCCTAGTAAAATCTACATATATGTTCCTAGTATTCAATGAATTACAGGGAGGACTTAGAGCGGTAGTTTGGACAGATACATTCCAGACATTTGTGGTCATGGCAGGTTTGATAGCCATTATTGTTGTGGGTTCAAGAGATCTTGGGGGTTTTGGAGAATTATGGGATATAGCAAACAAAGGTGGCAGGATCCAATTTATAGAGTAAGCCTAATTAAAATAAGGATAAATATAATCGTGTTGGTAACATGAAAAAATCCATATGAATGTTGACGGGAAATTTTAGTTTTATAGTTTTTGATGTTTTTACTATAGCCAAATTCTGAAATAATGTCAAAGAATAATAAATATAAACTTTTATTTAATATGTGAAACAAAAACTGGCAAGTAAAATAATGGGACATAAATAATAATGAGTGACACATCTATCACAATATAATGAAACAATGGAAATACAGTTGTTTATTTAAATACACAAAATTAATGAAGGTCTATCGCTATGTAAAACAAATTATCATTTAAATCAGAAACCGAAACGAGTTAAGGGAAAAATTTTGAAATTATGGTCTGCTTTGTGATTAATTATATGTTAGTTTTTTTCTAGGTACAGTAACTTTTGATTTTCATTATTTTGAGTTAGCGGATTCCATTATTACTTTGTAACCGTTTTTTACAAACTACACCATGATCGAACAGATCTGATTTGTTTTAACATGCTATATTGACAGGGATGGGGTCGATTACTTTAAAATGTAATAGATTAAATTACAATTGTAATCGACTACATTAGATTACTTTTCTTTAAAGTAATCATAATTACTTTGGATTACTTATAATTACATTGTATATTGTAATATTACAGAATTTCGTATAAACTTTTTATCCTCATGAAAAAGCTAATGATTGTGAAAATCTGTGTTTTTTATATCCGTAATTTATTCATCTTGTTTATATTAAGAATTTAGACGACTAGGAGTAGTGTAACATGTGTAAAGTTTGATAGCATAGGCAAATGTCCTTTTCTTTGTAAAAGATATAACATTGTTTTTATAACATTTTTAGCCAACTGCCCAATTAAGAAAAAACCTGAACAAATAATGAAAAATCTATTAAGTAGTTTTATTGGCTGTGGGAATATAATTGACACATACATATGTTTTTACAGGTCTTAATCACTACTTCAAATTTTTTGGCAAACAATAGGTGAGCTTTGGTATTAAAAAATAATTGTCTTATTATATATAGGTTAATTGCAATATCAATAAAGTTATAAGTAGTTTATTTTCATTATGTATATAATTGTTAGAAAAAATTCAATACTTGATATAGTAAGAAAGTAATTATCAAAATATTTATGGAAAACAAAATTCATACAAATTGTAAAAAACAAATTTGGTTCTAAATTCCATTATTAATTAAGTGGGCTCATTTATGTGGATCATCAAAGTCAAAATTGGAACTCAATGTTCTATGCTATTGAATTTCCATGTAGTCATACCAAAATATTGTGTATACTAAAATTGGAGTAAATCATCAGAAGTGTTCCATAGAAACACAAAATGCTTTCAAAGCATATTCTTGTATCAAAAGAACTCAATCTCAGAATGAAACATTTGGAAAGGTAAATTCCTTTGGTAAACTGTTTAAAAAATAAATCACACATTTTCACTCTACATGCCCAAGTTGGTTCTACTAAACTTGTTATAGAGATGATATGATCAATCACATTAAACAACGATCCATCATAGACTTTCATAGTGAATACTAGTTTGATAATTTTTCATTCATGCTTCACATCTTCTTATTTCTATATTGTATATCAAAACTATTTGCATATACAAAATTTGTAATCAGCAAGTAAATATACGAATGTGATCTTAAAGTAATCATAATTACATAATATTGAATTGCAATTGTGAACCTTTTGCACACGGTTTTGTTTGTTGAAGGTAGCGTATCTTCAATTGAGCCTTGTTATCTGTCTGGAACAGTTGATGACGTCATTACGATTTTTATATGGATTTCATAGATCAATCCTTAATCCAACCACTCTACCCATTATCAACCATTATAGTCTTCATTCAGCAACAGAAGACCTCTTGGCAGTGTCAGTTCTCTTTTAAATATTGGCGTAGACTGCATCAAAATTTTAAGAAATGAAGCTCTCACTGGAATTTAAAGCTGGTGAGAGGATATGCTTTCAAACAAACACCACAGTTTTCCTTAAAAATCGTTGAAAATAAAGACTATTATTTGTATGATAAATATTTGGTAGAAATGCGGCTATAAAATAGAAAAAAAAATCGCCTTCTTCGTTCTTTCTTTTTGAGGATTATCAATTTTCACATTTTCTCAGAATTAATTTTGAGTTACGAAAATCTTTTTTTCAGAAATGACGAATAATTGATTTTCAACCATTTTCTTATCAAAAGCGTCAGATCTATTTCATATTCAAAATATTGTATCAAAATTTCTGACCAATTCTATAAAATGTTTAAAAGATACTACAAAATGACTTTTTAACAACAACAAAAATATAGTGGTGGTTTCGAGTAGTTTTTTTTTATTTACTTAGGAATATTCTAGAGAGTCGAAATCAACCAAACAGTTAATGCAGTCACTTCGGTAGTGTACACCTCCAGTCTCAATACATGTATATTACTATGGACCATACATTTGAAGGCTTCGAACAATGAATAAAAAATAACGTTTCTGTCTTTTCTTTTTCAATGTTGCACTTCGCTGCAGCAAAACAGTTATTTGTACTTCTTGTCGGGAAAGAAAAAAAAACATTTAAAATTAAATTTCAAAATACAATTTTTGAAAATGACTTTTCTAAAAGAGCTACAGGCTAAAGTTATTTTAATAAAATTAATGATTATATTGAAATCACCAACAATGTATGATTTTATATGTAGCTGGAATCCTGATCCAACAACTCGACATTCCATATGGGCACTTATTATTGGCTCATTTTTTGGCCAACTGACAATTTATGCAGCCAATCAAACAATGATTCAAAGATATTTGGCAATAAAAGAAATAAAGAACTCACAGAAGTAAGTATAATGGAAAAGAAGAATATGGTGTATCATTTCATGACACAAAATCACTTCACTTTTATTGCTGTTCCTCATCACAAAGTCATAGTTAGGCCTTTAATATAGCCTTCAACTGTTTTTAGAATCTCTTTAAAAAAAATTAATCGAAAGGTGAGTAGATTTTATTACGAGTGGGAAATATGCGATCTTTGGAAGATTATTTTCTAAAAATAATGATAAAGTGTGTTATAATTGCCAAATAGACAGCCATCCACGAACGACCACAGGACAAGCATGTAAAAAACTCCTGGTAACCGTATGGCCTATACCATCAAGCAAAAACCATACCATATAGCAAGCAATAAAAAACCCGGTATAACAAAAATTATAATAATTCAAGAGAACATTAACGACAAAGGAGCTGACTACTTAGCTGGGGATACCCTCGAGAACGAAACATCCACCAAAAGTGGCATCGACCCGGTAGTTACAAAGTCCCATCAAAGATACCAGGCTTATAATTTGGTACGCTAGACGCACGTTTCGTCAAATAAACTCATTAGTGGCGCTCGAGTCATAACAACTGGAAGGGCAAATCAAATACGATGTTTAAAAACGTAAATAGTAAATAGTGGCCTGATTCTAAATTTTTGATAACATGTTGGTCTTTTTATGTTATAAATGGAGGAAGTTCTACTATCAATACTCTGTACTGTCAACCCTTGCCCCTCTGAAACAGTCTTTTAATTTGTCACGTTAATTTTAATATCCGTTTCACCAGCTCGAAGCTCCAACTTACGTTCTAAATATATCAGACCTAAAAAAATCAAAAGTTTGATATACCAACATTTAGATAAGCATAATCACAATCTAAAATTTATAAAATTCCAACCACTTGAAACCGTTCAGAAACAACCAGGACAATCACACAAACAATTTGAAAAATCCCGTGAAGTTCGCAAACAGCTTATCCTCTCGGTCTCAATGGAACATATCTAAAACTTCTATCGATGTCATGAATATTGTCGATAAACGGCTAAGAAACAATAGGTCTAATGGTAAACGTTAAAACCGTAATCTACGTATTAAACATCGTATAAATAATACACTTGCTGATCTGTTATCTATAATAAAAAATAATGGTAGACATCAATTATTATGCAAACTTGGTCATATACCAATAGGTAAACTATATGATATTTTTTCTGGAGTGTGATAAAATTTCATGTTTCAGCCTGTTGTATGAATACACCCGTATTATTACAGCCTTTTGTCATCACAGGCTGTTTCCTGGTATCGATAAACCTGAAAATCATAAACGGCATTTTCTTAATTTAAAATATATAAATAGAGGTATTGATTTTATAACTTATCTAGTATATTCAATGACTCTACTATCCATAGCCAAATACCTCCATATTTCGATAATACAGAACCACCTATCATTTCGTATTCGTACAAAAAAACCAGCAGAAGTTTGATTTTTTAAATTATACGTCAGTAACATCAGACGTCAATATAGAAAATAATGCTCCTTACACTTGAGACTGTGAAACATCTAGTTTTAGATATATTCCGTATGGTCATGTCATTACAGGAGACCTCAATATCGTTGAAGACCGTGAGGTCAAAACTTTTCTTGATAAAAGGACTTAAATGTCGTCCTCCATCTATTATAGAATGAAAACAGTGTCGTCAGGTCATAAAAGACGCTCTGTCTGCCTACTGTAAAAATTGGTGTAAACGTGAAAAATCTGATAAAAAAATCTCTATACAGTTATTTGAATAAAATTATGAATACTGTTGATATTCGTATATCTCATTTTGAAAACAATTCTGAAATTAATAATAGGGTTCATGATATACCCATTTCTAGAATAAAAAATAAACTCCAAGTACTCGCAAAGCGGTTTGTGTTCGTACCGGCAGACAAAGCAGGTAATAATGTAGTGGTGGTGTGACGCATATACTACACGGAAATTCTTCTACATTCAGGTCCGTACGCTCAACAGAGAGTCAAATTGTAAACAAGCATATCACTGCCACTACCCAGCTTAAAGCCTCTTCCGAACATTTAAAAGTCCCGACTATGTACTGGTTACCCAAATTACACAAACAACCATTTAAATTTCGTTTCATCTCCGCATCTAGTAAGTGTTCTACTACTAATCTACTAACTACCTCCCTTACTACTACCAAAGAACTTATTATTAACTTTTGTAATAAAGTTTATGAAAATAATGGTATTAATTATTTTTGGAGTTAAAAATTCTTTAGAGGTTTTAGATAAAATACGTGCTTTTTTTGTATTGCTATGAGTTACAATTTATGACAAAAATCAGTAAAGACCCATCGAAACAACATCTGATACACAAATTTAATAATACTTTTAGATATTTGGATGATATTTTGGCTCTCAATAATGACGACTTCAGTATGTATACTAAAGAAATTTATCCTGTTGAACTTACTTTAAATAAAGCTAATACTAACAATGACCACTGCCCTTTCCTCGATCTTGATATCTATATCATTAACGGAAAGCTTAATACTAAAATATATGATAAAAGAGATGATTTTTCATTTCCTATCGTTAATTATCCATTTTTAGATGGTGACGTTCCCTTGTCACCATCTTACGGTGTTTATATATCTCAACTTGTACGATTCGCTCGTGTATGTAACAATGTTTTAGATTTTAACGAGAGAAATTTATGTATTACTGAAAAATTATTACACCAGGGTTTTCGATATCACAAACTAGTCAAAACATTTACTAAATTTTATCATCGGTATAAGGACATCATTCGTAAATATAGCTCAACATGCAGACTTCTTATACGTTCAGGTATTTCACATCCATTTTTTTATGGAAATATTCTTTATAAAGCACAAAAATGTCAGTATTCACCTCTGAAACTAACAAAACCTTTAAATAGACTTATTAAGAAGGGATATAGTTACGATACTGTTGTCAGGTCATTAAAGATTGCATATTTTGGCGTTAATATTGATTCACTTATAGGGTCTTTGCATCGGCACTAAACACATTTATTTAAAAACCAGTTGTTGGCATGACACGGGTTATGTTCTTCTCATATATGTTATGATGGTATGATACTAAACCCCTAACGGGAAGGATTGTGCCTGATATTCATATGATGAAGACATAATCTTTCAATCAGTTTAATTGAAGTTTGGAGCTGGCATGTCAGTTAACTGCTAGTAGTCTGTTGTTATTTATGTATTATTGTCATTTTGTTTATTTTCTTTGGTTACATCTTCTGACATCAGACTCGGACTTCTCTTGAACTGAATTTTAATGTGCGTATTGTTATGCGTTTACTTTTCTACATTGGCTAGAGGTATAGGGGGAGGGTTGAGATCTCATAAACATGTTTAACCCCGCCGCATTTTTGCGCCTGTCCCAAGTCAGGAGCCTCTAGCCTTTGTTAGTCTTGTATTATTTTTAATTTTAGTTTCTTGTGTACAATTTGGAGTTTAGTATGGCGTTCATTATCACTGAACTAGTATATATATTTGTTTAGGGGCCAGCTGAAGGACGCCTCCGGGTGCGGGAATTTCTCGCTGCATTGAAGACCTGTTGGTGGCCTTCTGCTGTTGTCTGTTCTGTGGTCGGGTTGTTGTCTCTTTGACACATTCCCCATTTCCATTCTCAATTTTATTTTTTACAGAGTTTGTCTTTAGTGCCGTGTGGAGACAGTAGAGTGCCTCCCCGTGCTTCAGGTTTATGCTCTTATAATATACTAGATTATGGAGTGTGTGTCCGAGCGAGAACTTCTCTAGTTCATTACTTTAGGAATATTTATAAAAAAGTAGTATTTCAATATTCAGCCCCATTCTACTATTTAGTCAGACGTCAGTCGCTACCCTAATATACCCTTTCTTTTTCGGGTAATTAATACGGATAGCGTTTGACATCTTTAGCCGAACAGATTTATCATTTTTACATAATTTAATTCATTGTATGCTGGTTCATATTCTAGACGCCAGTCTTTGCTCCTTTCTAATATAATTCACAAACAAAAAACAAATATGAAGCTTAGAAATGGAAAAATATTAAATACTAAACTCGTTCAAAGGGTATCTACACGTCTCAATCTTCAAAATCGCTTATCTAAAAATACTACCATCGTTAACATTTTTAACAATAAAAATCGTGGTTACCCTTCTATCGATAAGTGTCATGCCAAAAAATGACTTACATGTCCCCGTCTTTCCACCAACAATACGGTAAGGTCCACGTTTAATGGTCGCACATTTTCTTTAAATTTTGAAACTGATATAACTTGAAAAACAAACAGTATAATTTATTTACTCACATGAAACAAACCGGGATGCGGTATTCAGTACGTAGGTGAAACTGGACGATATTTATCTAAACGCACTCAAGAACATCTGTATCGTTTTAAAAGACCCAATAAATTCAAAAGTATCATTTATCAACACCTTAAGAAGCACAATCATCCTATTAAATATTTAGCAGTTCAACCTTTAGAAGTAGTAAATAAGCAGCCTGGTGAATCTCATTCAAAGTTTGTACGATCGCGGAAAATAATTGAATTAAATTGGATTAAAAAATTACAGACAGTCTACCCTCTCGGTCTTAATGATAATATCATGGGAATTGGTAATATATCAAGAACCGATTCTGTTAACATTTTGGATATAGTTTCTAAAACTGTTCGTAAAAACCGTTCTCATGGTCGTAGAAAAAATCGCAATCAAAGAAAATTTCGGACCAATCATACCAATATTTCGGACCTAATTTCTATTTCAAAAAACAACGGCAGACATTATCTGTTAACAAAGCTCTGTTCATTACCGGTTAATAAGTTAAATAAAATTTTAGAGGATTGCAATACAATTTCATATAGCAGTCCTAAGTATGAAATCGTTCAAATTATAATGGCATATTGTTATTCTAAACTGTTTCCCAAAATTGATCGCCCTGAAGATCATAAAAAACAGTTTATTAAAATAAAGTATGTCAATAA